ACTGTATAGCTGACGATATAAAGTGTCACTGTATAGTTAACTATATAAACTATATACTGTATAGCTGACGATATAAAGTGTCACTGTATAGTTAACTATATAAACTATATACTGTATAGCTGACGATATAAAGTGTCACTGTATAGTTAACTATATAAACTATATTCTGTATAGCTGACGATATAAAGTGTCACTGTATAGTTGATGATGCAGTATATATATTGTATGGTTAACTATATAAACTATATATTGTATGGTTGACGATATAAAGTGTCACTGTATAGTTAACTATATAAACTATATATTGTATGGTTGACGATATAAAGTGTAACTGTATAGTTAACGATATAAAGTGTCACTGTATAGTTGATAATATAAAGTGTAACTGTTAGTTGGTGATGCAAACTATATACTGTACGGATGACGATATAAAGTGTCATTGTATAGTTGGCGATATAAAGTGTCACTATACAGCTGACGATATAAAATGTCACTGTATAGTTAACTATATAAACTATAAACTGTATGGTTAACTATATAAACTATATACTGTATAGTTGACGATATAAAGTGGCATTGTATAGTTAACTATATAAACTATATACTGTATAGTTGACGATATAAAGTGTCATTATATAGTTGACGATATAAAGAGGCATTGTATAGTTGACGATATAAAGTGGCATTGTATAGTTAACTATATAAACTATATACTCTATGGTTAACTATATAAACTATATACTGTATAGTTGACGATATAAAGTGTCATTATATAGTTGACGATATAAAGTGGCATTGTATAGTTGACGATATAAAGTGGCACTGTATAGTTAACTATATAAACTATATACTGTATGGTTAACTATATAAACTATAAACTGTATGGTTAACTATATAAACTATATACTGTATGGTTAACTATATATTGTATGGTTAACTATGTAAACTATATACTGTATAGTTAACTATATAAACTATATACTGTATAGTTAACTATATAAAGTGTTACTGTATAGCTGTCGATTTCTTATATCATATTTATGTCATCAAAGTTGATATATACTTTGCTGATATTGACCTTTTTTTCTATTGATATCAACTTTTACAATATTATTGTTATTATAAGTCAGTTTGGTATTTACTTCGATTTTACATTTTTGGGGTACTTTTGATATGGACTTTTATTAACTTTTCCAAAATAGATTGCTCAATAATATTCATAGTTTTCATTAATGTTCTCATCACAAATCACTTTATTGTTGCTCACAGGTGTATTTATATTTTCATGCTTGTGATATGTTGTTTTGTGATATATGTTTCACTCCTCTAGAAGGTCTTTGCCAAGGAACCATAATAAATGTATGCATAACATGTGTTGCGTTAATATGTAGCCTATGGAATTACGACTGAGCAATCTTCCATCTTAACTATTATTAGGCTTAAAAAAGTGGCATTTGTTCGCCAGATCCAAGCGTTTTACGTCAAAGGATTCAACCTTTAGTCTTGATAAAGTGACTGCTTCAACTCTTTTATTTAGCTTTTATAATATATATATATGCGTATAATATGCAAGCTGAATAAGACCAACTTATAACAGCGTCTGAAAATAATTTTTTTCTACATTTTTCGATTTGTTCCGTTTTAATGTTGATATTCTGTTACGATGACAAGGCAATGCTTTATGAAAACTGCGGAAAATTACAATACAAAAATTTCAAACATATGAATATGTAGGACAATTAAATATTAAGCTTTGTCCGAAACCACGGACATGACTAACTGCAAAAAACATTCTGTTTCATGAGGATGGTTTTCACGATGAAATTTGAAAAGAAGTCTGTTTGTATTCCGTAGTTAATTTAACCAACATACTCATGTTTACTGTCCGAATTATATATTTTTGAGTAAAGTACTCTGAAGTTTATAATTAAATGTTTGATTTTTTCTTCACCATGTTATGCCCTTGAGTACTTTTTGATTTTAATATTTGTTTATTAAGTGTTTTCTTCAGGAAAAGCATATCTGTCTCCTCTAAACCTGAATTATGTTATATGCAAGTGAGTAGATCAATTTTCTCAAAAATAAGCCAGGCATAGCCTCATGTTTAGCGTGCTCAGGTTGTAAACCTGAGGATTCATGGCTTGTGAGGCGTTGACGCAAAATGCACTGAGTACAATCTGGAATGAGTAAAACGTATGTTCGTTAAAGAGACGGACATTTGTGAAAGAAAGAAAATTTTACAGATGGTGGTGCTCAAGCCTCCATCCCTATCTCAGATTACCCAATGGTTGTTTGCAGTCATTCATTTAATTTCAGGCCTCCATCCCTATCTAAAATTACCCAATAGTTGTCCGAAGTCATTCATTTAATTTCAAGCCTCCATCCCTATCTAAAATTACCCAATTGTTGTCTGAAGTCATTCATTTAATTTCAGGCCTCCATCCCTATCTAAAATTACCCAATAGTTGTCTGAAGTCATTCATTTAATTTCAAGCCTCCATCCCTATCTAAAATTAGCCAATGGTTGTCTGAAGTCATTCATTTAATTGTGCGTACTCTTTTAGTCTTGCAGAGTTCATGAAAATTGGTTAGGTGAGTTGATCGGTACGTTTCAGAACATTCGTTTGTTTAATAGTAGTAATATTTTACCTAGACAATTTGGGTTTTACTATACTGTTCAAATCAATATGAGAGCTGAAATCGTAATTTCACAAGATAAAGTTTTTAGTAATCCGTTCTTTTTTTCTTTTATTAAACCTGCTTCATTAAGAGTAACTAATTCCTGCAATTTAATTTGTTTTATTTCGATATTGTAAGCAAAACTAGTTTTTAATTGAATATTACCACTGAGATTTTCAGATGAGAATCATTCTATAATCACCAACAGCTGTTTGTTTTCGCATATGTTTCTGGTATGAATCACTCTCCAGTCAGCAAAAGGCGTGTTTTTGTCTTTTATAAAATTCTGGCGAGATTCTGTCTCCAATGGATAGAAATTGAGTTGTTTGCACATTTTCGGATGAAAATCAGTATCCAGTCATTAAAAGTTGGTTATATCCGTATATGTTTTAGTATGAATCCGTCTCCAATCTGTAACACGTATTTGGTTGGTTTTGTGTAATTTTCTTTAAGGATCAGTATCCGGTCAATGACAGTTGGTTATTTCTATATATTTTTTTGTAATAATCGGTATCCAGTTAGTAACAGTTGGTTGTTTCTATAGGTATTCTAATAGGATTCAGTAACCAGTAAGTAACATTGTTGTTTCTGTGTATTTTCTTGTAAGAATCGGTAATGTGCAGATGGTTGTCTTTGCAAACATTATAATTAGAGTCTGCCTTAAGTCAGTAATAGTAGGTTGTTTATATGTAACTTCTTGTAACAATCAGAGTCCATTCAGTAACATGTGGTTGGTTGTTTCTGTTTAATTTCTTGTAAGGTTCAGCACCCAGTCAGTGACAATTAGTTAATTCTGTGTATTTACTTCTAAGAATCAGTATACAGTCAGTAACAGTTGGTTAATTTTGTGTATTTATTTCTAAGAATCAGTATCTAGTCGGTTACATTTGGTTGTTTCTGTATATGCTCTAGTAAGAAGCAATCTCATGGGGTTTGTTGTTTCTGTGTAACTTTTTGTACGAATCAGTATCCAGTCAATAACAGTTGATAAATTTTATGTATTTACTTCTAAGAATCAGTATCCAGACAGTACGAGTTGGTCGTTTTTATATATTTTCTTATACCAATCAGTATCTAGTCACAATCGCTGTTGTTTCTGCATATTTGTTGGTAATAATCAGTCATTAATAGCTTGTTGTTTCTGTGTATGTTTTTCGCAAGAATCAGTCTTCAATCAGTAACATGCAGTTTGTTGTTTTTGGAAATGTTATAAATACAATCAGTCAGTAGTCAGTGAAATATTTTTTATGATTCTTAGATCAAATGTTTATATCATTTAGTTGTATTTTAAAGGTAATACAACTGGATATATCTGACAATTTCATTTCACCAGTTATAGCGAGACTACTCTTTTTTTTTTTCTCTGTACGCCATTTAGACATATAGTAGAC